GGGGGGGGGGGGGAATCTGCATGCTTGGATTGTTTGTATCATGGCTGATGAGGGGCTGACCATAAAAGATGCATATATGTAACAGTCTACCAGTTTTACAAAGACCTTACTCAAATTGTTGTTCTGATGTGCCATCAAGTTGTTGCGGACTTATGGAAGCCCTATTAATTAATTATCAAAAGGTCCTATCCTTAACAGTGCTGCTCAGGTCTTACAAACCAATGGCTATAGTTTCTTTACTAAGCTAATCCATCTCATTAGATTTACTTTCAGCAGGAAAAACATTGATCCTGAGTAAGCATGCATAAGAATGTAGATAGCTTGAGGCCACAATTAAAATGACAATGGAATGCTTCTCAAGACATGACCAAACTAGAATATCTTCAGTATGTAGTTATCTTATAGTGAGACTTCCCCGCTTGATTTGATTTAGAACCTATTTGTTTGGTTTTTTTCTGGTGGCCTGTGGTATCCCTAAAGCTTCCCTGAAATACCACATGTCAAATGAGTTCATTTATTTCCTTTCAGCTTTCTTCATTGCCCTGCGTTCACATCCATACAGAGTAATCAGGAATGCCACAGTATGCTTGATTTTGACTTTTGTATCCTTCTGGTTTTCAGTCTTCTGACTTTTTTGGTTACCATCCCCACTTGCATTGCTGGCTGAACCAAGGTATAAAAAATCTTTCACGGTTTCTATTTCTCCATTGTCTGGGATTTCTTGGTCTGTATAGAATAAACATCTTTTGTTATAAAAATTTGAGCATTACTTTGCTTCCATGGGAAGATTAATGCAATGGCCCTATAATTACTGCAATCTTTAATGTCTTTTTTCTTTGGAATTCAAATACATGCTTAAAATTTCCAGTCTGTGGGCAATTGTTTTATTTTCCATATTTGTTGGCATATTCTTATTAGGATGTTGATACATTTTTGTCTCTCTAACTTGAAATAATTCTGTAAGTATCCCATCTGTTCCTGATGGTTTATTTGTTGCAAGTGCTTTGAGAACAGCTTTCACTTGACAAAAGAAGACTGAGGGGAGATATGATAACACTTTTCAAATATTTGAAAGGTAGTCATACAGAAGAGGGGCCGGATCCTACACTGAACAGGTGGTTGGACTTGATGGCTTTATAGGCCCCTTCCAACTCAATGATTCTATGATTCACTTTCTTAAAAAAGAGGATTCATCATTAATATATATATATATATATATATAAAAGTACCTGTAGTTCTGTAGCTCTTCTGTATAGTTCTTGTATAACTGTTCTGTCTTGTTTTTTCTTTTCTTTTGACTGCAGGAATAGTCTTTTTGCATTCTCTCCTGATTATATTTCTTGTTTCAGGGCACAGTTCATTTGATTCATGGTTGCTTGAGTCTAGTAATGCAAATCTGTCCTTTGGAAGGACTTTAAGCTGTTCAGGTATGTTATTTAAATTATATTTTGGCACAATGATTGCTCTAATGTTCTTGTTCAGTATATCTGATTGTTTATATGAGTGGTTCTTGGTCTACAGTCTGCTTCTCTCATCTTGTTTTCGCAGAATAGAGCTTCTACATCTTCTGCTTCGAATTACATGGCCTATTCAGTTACTATATTGACTGTCTAGTGATATCCATATGCATCTGTTTGGTTGCTTGAAGCATATATTTTCGATAAACAGATTGTGGGCTTCACAGAACTCTATGCAGTACTCCACTGCTTCGCATCACATCTTCTGAGGATGTTTAGTTCTTTTTAACTTTCTACCTTTGTGTTCCGGTCATCTATGATCATCAGGATATTTTGTTTTAGTGTGTGATCAGTTTCCTCCATGATTCTCTCATAAAACCATTATTTATTTATTTTTCCTCAGAATCTGTTGTTGGAGCACAAGCTTGGACGATGGTCATGTTGACAGGATTCTCATGAGGTTTGATTAATATTAGTTCACTTCATCTTATGGCCCATAACTGCTTGTGTTACATCATGCCTCACAATCTAAGTCACTCTATTTCTTTTGAGCTGATCATTTCCAGATGATTGTGAAATGCTTTGCAATTATCCAATTGGAACTGTCCTATTCCAGTTCACTTTTGTTCATTCTGTTGAGAGTTGTGTGGAACTCGTGTGAATTCCCCAAAAATGCGCAGCAAGAAGTGCCAGCCGGTTAGGCAGAATTAACTGGAAGTTCCCCTTTTTGGTAATCTCCCCTCACCAAACACTAGCACATAACAAAATACTCAGGAGGTCTTTTTATCATTGAATAAAGAATTCTATTTTACTCACATGAGGTTATCATTCTTAAAGGTTTCAGTTTGTTACATAATAAACATGTTAAAGGTATGAAACAATATCTTAATGTGTAAAGATCTGAGAGAGAACAAATAAGTGTCTTGAGGTTTATCACCTCAGAGAGAGAAGAGGCAGTTACAGAGGCAGTTACAGACCACTAACAGTCAAAGCTTCCCTCTGATTGGTTAGTATTCAAAACTATATACTAGCAAGTTAGTCTGTGCACTGGATGGTCTTCCCTTTGAAATTTACAGTTAGATTGGTTGACCATCCAATACATCCAACACATTCACACCGCCCATTGTGACATTTGTGCATTCTATTGCTTGTTTTCCCATTTTTGAGTTTATCTTGATTCAGACATCTCATGCACCATGTTTCAATTACATGTATCATGCAGTTTCAGCGTCTCTACAAATCAGCAGCTAAATATTAATTTGGCTTTAGTTTAGTTCTTCATTAAAACAACATCACTCATAGTTGTCCTTGCTGCTTCCCCAGTAGCCGAGTGCCTTCCAACCTGGGAGTCTCATCTTCCAGAAGTATCTCTTCTTTTACATTTGGATTGTCTCATCATAGGGTATTTTTATATATAAAGCATTCAGAATTGGCTTGTGTTTTCCATCCTACAAATAAAAGTTAGTTTGAGCATTCCTGAATGAATGAAGATCTTCTGCTACTCTTCCACAATGGCTGTTGCCTAGTAGTTGCCCATTGAGAATTTCTCCACCCCCAACACCACTGGAACTGTCAATACTCTTCTGCCAATAGGACTGTTAATGCTTTACTTAAATTCTTCCTTTCAACATTATTTGGGAGTTGCTTTCAGACAAACATAGAAGGGCTTGATTTGTTAGATAGGCTTAGGGATATACTATGACTCTCCAGTTCAATTAATAATAAAACCAATGTGGTTAATTTTCCCTTCAAATGTGGGTGGATATGACTCAGATCATGGAGGAGGAGCTGAGGTCAGGCCAGCAGCAGGATGAGGCCACAGTGATAGGAATAAAAAAGGACTTGAGTGGGACAGATGGGAAGTATTTGGGCAAGCTGAAGATGCCTTCTAGTTGCCTTTAAAAACAGTTCAAGATCTTTATTGATTTTTTAAAAAATTCACATTCCTTACTATGCTGTAGAATTCTTTATCCAAAGCTACAACATATATGTTTTCTTTACTGGAACTAGATTTTTGATTCCTAATCCTACTTCATCCCTTAGAAAAGGAAAATCCCAATTGTTTTTGAAATAAACAAATACAAAGTCTTTACAGTTCAAATCATCAATGAATATACTGGTTCCTAATAAAGACCACAAGAAAGGCAATTTTCTGTTAAAGGCAATGGATGTAGGTAAAGGTTGAGTGTGAATACTCACACGAAAACATAATTTCCTATTATATTCGCTCCTTCCCTCTTGTAGTTTCAAATTAAAATCTACTCAATGACTTACCACATGCATGCAATATTTGTCCATGGATGATAGCACTCAGGGTTAAACTACACAACATGCTGAGCTTGTAGTTAACAAGTGAGAGCATGTTTTCCTTCCTTTTCTGATTCCTTCAGAGTTTCATGCTTGAGCCATGAGACTTGTAAATAAATTCTGTACTTACTTTCCAAGACCAGCACAAAACAAAGCAAGCTAACTGGCAAAAAACAGCAACGACAACAACAAAAAGGAAGTGGAGGGACGGAAAGCTTGTGTTAGGATAATCAGTAACTTTTTTTTTTACTTGAGGGAACACTACTTCTAAATATGGGGCTGATTGTCTACTTTCACTCTGAGAACCCCTGCCTTTTCACTAAGACTTGATACCCATCCTATACTTAAGCCTTCCAAAAATATGCTATTTTACCTGCCAGGTTTCCCCACCCAAACCTCAGATGTCTTGAGAAATAATGAGAAAACATGGTAACAGTGGGAAGTATTTCTGCTTAATGTGTAAACAGTTCCCTTAATGTCTGATCTGGTTCTTAGTGATACACTTGAATTATATTTGATCTAATCCACCAAATGGTCCACATTTGGCTGGCAGGCAGGCAAGCACCAGGCAGCCAGCATCTCCTGATCTGCTACTTGCCCACTAGTCTGCCTCTTGCTTCAAGCACATGCCATTGTCCTCAAACCTTTGCCGGTGCTCTGATTATAATGGCAGATGTGTACTTGGTCTGTCATCCCTAGAAGACCTCCCCTCACCTCAGGAGACAACCTAAGGACCTGGCAATACACAGGTAGGAGCACCTGCCACCCCTGCCATGGTAAGGTACAAGTCAGGCCACAATTAAGATATTTTGATGTCAGAAGAAGGATCAGCATGTTTTTCTTTTAACGTGATGCAGAAGGAAGTTGAATTAGGGGATGCTCTCTTGATGTTTGTAAAATGTCTTATGGAGGAAGTAAAGCATGCGATTTTTTAAAATTAGTCTACAATTACTGTACAGTAGCAGCATTTCTCTCTTATTCTCATTTGATCCTTCTCTGGGTTGGAACATAAAAAATCCATGAAATTTTGCAATTAAAACATTATGTGCTTCTCAGGTTCATAACAGGATCTGAAAATCTATACCTTACAAAGTATACAAGCATTGTCATGACTAAAAATTTTGGCACCTGGGACAAATGATGCCATCTCCCATCCACCTGCCCTGATACACGGATGTGAGCTCCTACCAAGAGAAAGATTGACAATGAGCTGAGTTTATGACAACCCATGGAAATCCATATTCCTTCCCCATTTTCTTGCCTTCCTCCTTTCTTCTGTTACCTTTCGGAAGCCTTTCTTCATCCGCCCCCCCCTTTATTTTCTTCACATTTAGTGGTTGATTTTCCAGCTGTGCAGATTCTGGGGACTGCATAAACCACAGATGAAAAGGATTGTGTGGATTATTCATTATTTTTTCCAACATCCATCTGTCAAACTTTGTGTCCTGATATCAATTCCAGTTAAGCCCAAGGAATAGCTTTAGGATTGCTAAGTGTCTGGAGGGTGTTGGCTACTAAGACATGTTTTTTAAGCAGGCCATAATAGTTTCTACAGCTGTTAACAGTGCCTAGAAGAATGACAGCATTATTTGTCTGTGTTTAAAATGTGCATGACTTACATTGCACAGAAGTCAGATTGAGAGAATGTCAGAATTTTTTTTTGCCTTCTGAAACATGGCCAGGAAAGTCTTCAATAACTAGAGAAATTCTTTTCAATCAACATGTGGTGCATTGTGTTGTTGTAATTGCTCAGACCTCACCATGAAAGTTGTCTTTGTATGTGTGGATGTACAATCTGTACTGTTTTGTTTTTTATTTATTCTGCATTCTTTATTTTAATGTGTGCTCTTTTCCCCTCCCTTCCAGACCAGAAAGATTGTTATTGAGCTCTTCACAAAGCTGAAATAATGCTGTGTGTTATAAAAATGTGAACAATTTGAAAAAGTTATGAAAATTTATAAGTTGGCTCAAGGCTGAGGAAATTTCTGCATATTTTAATATAAATTAGTAATGCAAACATTTGTTCTTTGCATTAAGATACACTTTTTGTTTCCATGTGCATTGGCATTTAATTTTCATTGCAATAAAACTTTTTTGTTGTTGTTTATTTGTTAAGTCGTGTCCGACTCTTTGTGACCCCATGGACCAGAGCACGCCAGGCCCTCCTATCTTCCACTGCCTCCCGGAGTTTGCTCAAATTCATGTTGGTAGTTTCAATGACACTTTCCAACCATCTTTACATCCACTTAATTTCTCTGTCTGTCTCTCTTTTTTCAGTAACTGACATGAATGCTAATCCATGAACATGGTACTGACATGAGTAAACTCTATGAAGTACATCAGTAAAATGTAAACTGAGAACAGTAATCAATGTATGAACTTTTTCAATGTATAAATTTTACACAGGGGAATTACCATGATATCTACAGATGCCAAGGCCAGCCAAACTATAAGGTCTAGAAGATACCAGCATGGAGTGATTCAGTAAAAGCAGTCCCTGCTGTGTTAGTTTTCAACAGGAAATACTACACCTCAGAGGTCCTTGCATTCAGTTTGTATGTCACTAGTCAAAGAGGGAACAGGCAATGCATATTGACATAGAATTGCTGGAACAGATTGCTGTTTGTAAGCACAAAATACAACTACGTTAATCGCTACTCAAGTATGGAAGAAGGAAGTGGATTGCTGTTTGTAAGCACAAAATACAACAACGTTGTACTACTCAAGTATGGAAGGAGGAAGTGGTGGTAAAGATAAGAACAGGGAGAGCTAGACTGAAATTTCTTAGAAAAGGACTTTCCACTATATATTCTGAGAATTATCTTTGTTATGTTCTCTTAATTTCAGCCTCTCTTGAAGAATATCCTGCAAAATAACATCCCCCATCCCAGTTTGGAAAACCAGGAAAGGGGATGGGAGATTCGTGATGCTATTCAACTTCTAAATTGATATTTGTTAATAGCGTCGAAAGAAGCCATGATCTTTCCTCTGACTTCCTCCCATCATCTTCGTCTGCATACTTCTATGGACTAGCACCGTAATGTATCCGGTATTAACTGGGGCAAAGTTTCTCCACCCATATGTTTTCTCTGTTGGAGAAGTCAGCACCTCCAGTATATTCTGTGAAACCCCTCTGCTGATTTCCACTTCCATCCTTAGAAAGATCTTTAGCATCTAGAGTTTAATCCTGGATGAACAAGCTGACCTGGCTTGTGTGATCATAATCTGACTAAGCAGGTCCATAGTTGGCACCTAGACAGGTAGCATTCATATGCCTGCACAGCTGACAGCTGGGTGGTGGTTTACTGATGTGCAAATGCTCCCTACATAAAAGGCAGTGGCTCCATTTAAAGGGATAACTAGCCATTGGCAGCCTACATGGCTTTGTTTCTTTCCTTGCGTGCTCATCACCACTTTTAAAATTGGGCTCCCAACGTAAGGGAGGTGGATGCTTATAAAACTGACCAGATGCCCAGTCTTAACATGTGGTTGTTTGCTTCACTTTAAGTCCTGTGTGAATATGGCCTGAATTGTAACTGGTCAGACTTCAAACTTGTAGAGGTGATTTACCTGTCCTTCTACCTGGGCGGGGGGAGCGGGGGGCGGATGAGGTTTTCTTTGAAGTTCCCTCCATGGTTGCTTAAGGGGCACATTTCTGGGTGTTGCATCAGCAAACATGAAGATGTATAACCATCTCCTCTTGAAAAAGGTGATATACAGTCAAACAGTACAGTAACCTATATTTGGGGGAAAAAAAGAGATACATATGAAATAGGTTTGATGAGGAATCAATATATCTGTCACTTATTTTACAGGGCAGAATCAGATACGTAATACTTTCAGATGGATGGCTCCTAGTCAGCCCAATCAAAAGTTATTGTACAGCAACATGGAGAAGATGGAATAAGCAATTTAAAAAAATTAATTAGGCTAAATTAAGTTAAAATTAATTTAATAGATTTTTATATAATTAGGTGAGGAAAGTGCCTGTGTAGCCAGGAGAAGAAGAAGGGATGGAGATGTTCATGGCAACCCCAGTTCCTACAGCCAGCAACTGTCTTGTAGAATTTGCAGTCCATGGCATCTGGAAAATGTCAGGAAACCATGGTAAGCAATATTTTAAAAAGCCATCTCTGAAGGACCAAACGACAAAATATCAATTAGCAGGACAGTGATTCGCACAGTAATATAAAGCCATTTTCTCTTACGGATTCCTTTAAAAATAATAACAGCATGTTTCCTTTCATCTTTAATGTAATGAGTTGAAAACTTTACCCATTAATCTTAACTGAAATTTAATTAAGCTATGGGGTCTTCCAACAAAAATTTAGCCAATGAGCACTTCTCTACTAATGCCCAATGACTGCTTTTTCCTCTCCTGTGCGCATTTTCTGCAGTTAGAAAGATGAAGCAATGGAAGAGCACAGATGAATTACAAACAGAAGATCGTGACCTCTGGACCCCCCTAAAATTCCATGAATGAAGCAGGGCAACTGTACATCACAGACTCATCTGGAAGCACTAATAATGCCTCAAGGGTTGTGAGGCCAGAGACCGAGAGCCATTAAATGCCTATTTTTATCTTCTGCTGTTACAAATGTGTTCTTCCTGTTTGCTTTTCAAAAAAAAAATCTACCTTCTCAATGAAATGTGCAGTACTTCTTTTTCTTCTTCCTCAGCCTGATTTTTTCCCCATTAACTGCATTAATATGTTTGGGTTTTGCTCCTGTAATTTCCTACCAGTGAATTGGTGATATGAATAGGCTACACGTTAGCTGTCTGTCTTGCGGCTGGAGAAATTAAACACATTCTTGTAATGGAAAGAAGTTCAACGTAAAAAAGAAAAAAAGAAAAAGAAAAAAAAGAACTTCTCCCCAGCAGCGAAAAGTGGAAGGAAGTGACTACTGGGATGACAGTGTTACATTTTCTAAATGGGTAACTTCTCAATAATAATAATAATACTAAAAAACATTCTCACTCTTTGTATGTGTGTACAATTCCACCCCACCCCACCCCACTTGGTTTATTATTGGATGAAGCTAACTGTAGGGTTACACTGCATGTTTTCCTCCCATCACACACAGGGAATCTAGACAGGCATCCTTGTCTCTCTTTCATCAGTTTTAGCCTCCTCCTCCTCATGGCACATCCTTGCAATTGCATTCTTCCCCTCTAAAAGGTCTGCACCTTTCCTTCCCCAGGACTGTTCTTTTTGTGAGATCTTTGGTGACCATCAAGCCACAAAGCCAATGGCTACCAATGCTGAGTTCCTGGACCCTGTGGCAGGGAAACTGAGCCGTAGATGTTGAGGTAGGGAAGAATGAGTTAGGGAATCAAGAAATGGAGAATATTGCCTGAAAAGCAGTAAATGGTTCCCCATTCAACCATGGCTTGCAGATATGATGCAGTTAGAAGAGAAAATACCAGCAAGTTTGGAAGGATCAGAGATCAAACTATAAAGGGAACTAGGAGTAGGAGTGATACCACTGCAGGTTGAAGATGATGCCCTTGGAATGGAGGGAAACGCCTACTGCTGCTTTGTCGTCAGTGACAAAACAACAGACAGCCACTCCTGCAAGAGTACATGCTGGCGTATATCAGGATGGAAATCCAGCCATAGAATGCTGGTGCAGGACCTTGTGCAATACTTTTTCTTCCTGGTTTCACAGTGGTCTATGAACATCTCTCTTGAGCCCAGCTAATCATAAATTTTGGAACAAGATGAGATCTGCATGGTTTGGATCCTCTTTCAATATGGCAGCAGGAAGTGTGATATTTTCCCTCTGCAGTTTCCCTCAGTGACAGCCACTGAAGTGGAGGATGGAGGAAATATGCAGTGTAGTGATATCATACATTGCCATTTTGCTTTACTAAGCACAATTGAGGCACAGGAAGAACTATGGTGGTAGTGGTTGCAGTGGTCGGGTTGCTTGTGATACTCAGTTCAGAAATAAAACACTTCTGGACTACTGAGCGGAATCTTACTGGATTTTACCCTGGGGCAGGTGAAATCACACAAGTTACCACAGAGCACTATGGCTGTTCAACAAAGTGCCAGTCACAGGTCTGGTCAGTGTTCATTCATTTGTCTAGTGCGCAGACACACAATCAGCACATCTATTAAATAATTGCAATTTGTTACCACAACGTATGTGCTTTCACTTACTCCAGAGTAACAGCCAACCAAACTTGAACACCAGCTGAGTCGTCGTCGTCATCATCATCATCATCATCATCATCATCTAATGATGATTTAAGATTTACTGATGTTATAACGTTAAATCAAATATATACCAAAACTGCACGCCAGACAATATATCAAGCATCACAGGAGCCGCCATGTATTTGATTTGTAGAATTTCTGCTTATTATCATCCATATCAAAGAATAAATAATGAAATTCTAGCCAGAATTAATAGTGAACCACAATAATGGGAACAGCAGTTACATGAAATGAGAAATGTCTGTGATGCACCTTCTGCGCAAGCCATTGGCATCGGAGAGATGACGGGAAAACAACCACTCGGTAATCAGCTGTATCACTCTTGCTCTCTCTTTTGTCAGTAAGGGCTTTTTCCCTTTCTTTAATTTCTTTCTTGTGCTCCAGTTGGCCAATCAACTACATTCAAAGAACAATGTGCACAATACAGTATGTTGTAGAAAGCAAAAGACCTGTTGTTGTGATGTACCCAATCCATGGGGAACAAACCTTTCATATTGATATAAAAAAACCTGGGTCCATGTCTAAACAGTCTGGATCCTAAGGATGGGTGAGAATTTCATTTTCATTCGTTTCTGATCAGAATTGACCAGTATTCACAAAATGCAAGTGTAGGAAAAGGCAGGTGGTAGAGTTGACCATCCCTAATGTGTCCCACTGCTTTGCTCCTTTGGCCAGACATTGTATGCAGTGGAAGGTACGCTTTGTCACAGGGGTGGGCGGACACTAAGACCAAACTTTCAGAATTCGTGATCCAGCATGGTCAGTGGCCAAAGGATTCTGGCAACTGAGGTCCCTAAAACAACTTTTCCAAATTCTGCTTTGTTCTTACTGCCATAGTCACTTTTAACTGCTGCAGCTTAATTTTCCTTGTAAAAATAAATGTTAAAGAATGCCTTGTACATTAGAAACCATTAGCTGTGAGCTTAACTGTCTGAGTGTTCCTGGTGACTTCAGCAAGGGAAAATTCTGATCTGGAGATGCAGTTAGGAGAGATGATAAGAGAAGGAAGAGTCAGCAATATCCAAATGCCTTTTCTGAAAAAAAAAGTTGAGATATTTATTTTTTAAAGTGGTGGGCTAAATCCAGTTCTAGCCCAGCTAGTACAGACTCACTGAAATCAATAGAACTGAGCATTAATATTAATCAGCAATTCAAGTTCAGTAAGTGGTCTACTCTTGGTTTGACTCAAACTGGATTGACCAAATCCAGGTTTAATACTAATTAGAGTAGCTCAGTTAAAATCAGTAAGACTCATTGGTCAACACTGTAGCAAGTTCCACTAATTTCAGTAGGTTTTAAAATATAATGTAGTCCCATGTATTCTACAATATATTTGCCATAGTGTTTTCTAAAAATATACCCTGTCCTATGCAATGACTTTGTTGGTCTGATACACAAGAAACAGGCACTTACCTGGTCCTGCTGGCAAGAAAAATCCTTGCTCACCTGGGAGAAGAATAAGATCTTTGTTTTCAGCATACCTAGCTAGTATATGATACTGTGACCCATCATTCTTTATATGCATTCAGGATTTGTTTGATGCAGACTGTGCAGTCTAAGAAATAATGACTCCCCTACAGTCACACAGTGAAGAATTGCAAGTATATGATGGTTTTCTATAGGCAGCAAAATGCCTTGGGGGAGTCCTATCTTTGTGGGTCAAGCTAGACAATTCAGCTAATAGCAGGAATTCCATAAGTGCTTAAAGCACTTTGTCATAGCATGAACTTTTCTCACTGCCTGTATCCTGCACGGACCCTACATACACACCAGAACTTTTGGAATGAAAGACACACACATACTATGAAATTCCATGAACTTTCCCAAGTAATCTGCAAATTAGCTTTCTTTCTTTATGATCAGGAGGTAAGCTTAATTTTCAAGTCTGATTGCTCTGGTACAAATCTCTGAAGAAGCTAATTGCTGGAACACTAAAATGCGATCAGCTTCTGAATGCTTAGCTGCTCATTTAGTTTGGTCCCAAGTTTCTCTCTCCTACCCTGTTTGGCTGTTATTGAATCTATAGCACTGAAACAGTCAGTATCACTTTCTGGTGTGTGTATGTGTCTGTGTGTTAGTCAGCGGGGGAATCACCGGGCGCGAAATAACATGAATTTTGTGGAGGAATGTAGTGAGTGGTTGTAATTTTTTGACACACAACAACTGTTTATATGTTGTTACTCCTGAAACATTGCTTTCTAAAAGTAATTTGGGTTTGGTTTGGTACCTGGGAGTGGGTGGGCTACTCTGCCACTGTTCCTCTGCTCCTAGGTGTTACCTTCTTGGAAAACCAGTTGCTGATCCAGCTCTTACTCACTTGTTTAGATGTGGGTTGCATGCTCATGCCATATCTATGCTTGCTCCATATGTATGGCATTTTAATCTGAACATACTGTATACTGTATTGTAAGCCACCTTAGGTACCCACTGTGGGATATACAATAAAATAAATAAACACAGGGAAAGATTGGTTCTTATTTAATCAATCCTTCCCTATGTTTATTTATTTATTTGATTTATATCCCACCTTTTTGCCAGTGGGAACCCAAGATGGCTTACAATATTAAAAGAATATAGTTGTTATTTACAGTATTTAAATATTTTTGCCCAAGCTCCTAGCCTAATACTGGCTTGTAAATCAATACATAAATACAGACAAAAAGAACTAAAATATCCCAACAAAGAAAGAAGCAACCAAAAACACAAGTAATCTGAATTTTAAGCCAAGGCCACTGTGAACATCTACCAGTACAACAGGTTTCTTATACTGGATTGTTTTGTTTGTTTGTTTTCTTTACCATTGATGTAATGGTCCCAGATGAGTAGAGCTGGTCCTAGAACTGCTGGATAGCTCAGTGGTTTAGGTATCTGGTTGCAGAGCTAGAGGATGGGAGTTCGATTCCCCACTGTGCCTTTTTGACAGGGGCTGGACTCGAGAATTCATACAATCTCTTCCAGCTCCACAGTTCTAAGAATCTAAGAATCATTAGAGAGAATGAGTTCATGGCTTCAGATGGCAGGTGCTGGGGTTGCAGTGGTGGTCACCTTTCACCTGTTCCTCTTGGACTCTGCAAGTGGACTCTTCCTTGTTTGGAAGATAAAACTGTATTTGTCTCGCAGCTTGTCCTGAATCTCCTGAACTATTCAGCTACTTTCAGAAGTGGTGAAAGACATTATTCCATTGCCAGTACTGAAGTAAGATTTGACTAATTCCATTCCAGTCAATTTCTCTCTATGGAAAAGAGAGGGAGATATACCTTGCCCGTTGCCTTGAATAGCAAGATATTCTGGGCAGGCCTTTCAGACTAGTTGACTAATTGGCTTCCTTAGGAAAGTTCAGACTAATTACAGGACTAGCAACCCTAGTTTAGTTCCTCAAATGGTAAAGCCAAACATTTTGTTCTTCTCTGTTTCCGTTGCCTCCTTGAACTCTGGCAGCTTCAGTGACCCTGGATGAGTGCAGAAAGGGAAAGGAAAAAAATTGTATGCAAGTTTTTCATTTCTGTTGCAACATCAAGAATGGATGCAGAGTTGTTTTGGTTCCTTCTCCTCCAACTTTATAGCAAATGACTAATGCCTATGTGATTGATTAGCAGTCAATCAGCTGACTAAAAACAAAAGCCTGAAAGTTCTCAGAATTAGAATAATTTTCCATTATGGGCCAATAAGCCAAAAACGAGACTTTATCATTACCCTGTTGGAAGAATGCTCCTTTGAGGTGGACCAGAGCCTCCCGGGCCAAGTGACATAGAAAAACATATTGCTACAGCTGACCTCAGGTCCTCAGGAGAAAGTGTTGGTGGACCTTCATTCCAAGAAGTGAGAGTTTCACTCTTCTCAATCAGAGGATAAGGCAGATTGACCTCACAGGTCAGAGAGAACACCAGCAGTTGGAAAGACAGGCAAGGCTGATGGTAGATTGAGGGAGTGCTTGCCTTGATGAGTAAAGGCATCTCTGTGGACAAGGCCATCCTCATCAGGGGGATTCCTGCCAAAATGCCTCCATCCGGCACTGTCTCATCAGGAAGCCTCAGCCCCACATAAGGAAGGTTGCTGGAAACAATGACTGCGCACTGGTGCTAGCCCTTGCAAGGATCTCCTTGATCAGCTCCTCCAGATCCCAAGTATGCATTGATTCTCAACTTCCCTGCAGTTCTTTCTGGTTTCATATTGTATCTGCCAGCTTTCTATCTTGGTCTTTGAGTTCTCTGGGCACTGGCCTTTGGATTTTCCTTGCCCAGAAGAGGTAAGCCTCCTTCCTTC